GAGAAAGTTATCCACTGTATAATAATTCCCCTTTTCTTTCTGAGCATTATCCCATGCAACTACCAGACATTCACAAGTCTCCTGCTCTCTTCTAAATACATCCGCTGTTTATAGTCTTCCTGGCTGAGGTTCTTGGCTTTCACTTGATTCCACCTTTTCTTTCTCATCCAGATTACCCAGTTTACCCTGGCTTTATCCTTTTCCTCATTTCCGTTATACTGCCTAGAACCTTTAATCTGAGGACAGTGCCTTTTAAAATGTGAAGCTGAACCACATACAAAACATGTTAAACCTTTAATGTTCCCAGTGTTTTTCCCTATGGTTTCTGACCCATGCTGACTGCCTCGTTTCTCTTCGACCTTAGGTTTCTCACCTACTGCCTGATTTAAAATCTTAGTTTCACAAGCTTCCCAATGTACATTGTAGGACTTCCCTTTAGCCGCAAAGAATACGTCACAATCCTTTCCAAGCTCTCTTGGCTTGAACCATGAGTCTTCCTGCCTTATATCTATGTGTCTATGTGTACTGCAGTTTCCGTATCAAGCGTCTGGTAGATTTTGTCTGCTACCACCAACTGATTAAGACCTTCAAAGTCTGTCACCCCCCTTGATTTCACATAATTTTCTCCACATGGCAGTAACTCTAGTAGAAAACTGGCCAAAGGTCTCTTCTGAACTTCGTCTTGCCTTTCTGAAATTCTCCAGGCATACCTGAGGTGAAGGTTTAAATTCTTTCAACACAGTTTCCTTTATTTCCTCATAATTCCCATACTTATCCTCGCTTACCAATGTTAATAAATTTGCCGCTTTATCTCCCAAAAGGTAAATCAAAATTTTAGCCTTATGCTCATCAGGGACATTTTCATTGACATAAGCTCTTTCTAAACTGGAGAAGAAATAGTCCCAGCGATCTGCTTTACTTGGAACTTTTATTGTCAATAATCTGATTGTCCTTGTTAACTCTTCTACTGATCTTTCCTTCCCATTCTCCCCCCCCCCCGTTCGGGTGTAGTACTTCTATTCGAGTAGTGATCCTAACAATCTACCTTATACTTCTCAATGGCAATCCTCTCCTCTGCCTCTAACTTTAGTTTATATTCCCTTTCTTGCCTTTCCTCCTTTGCCTCCCTATCTGTAATGATAACACTCAGAAGATCCTTTGCTACCTGCTCCTCATAGCTTTCGCTAGCAAGAATTTTTTCCCTCAAGTGCAAAATTCTAAATGTAGGTAACACTTCAACACCAAACTCTTGTGCAAGGGCGACTAGATCAGCCTTTCTAGATTTGGTCAAAAATGACATTATTGAATTTTATGTTCAACTTAATTAAAAGTACAGAAAATTAAAACTGAATCTCCTTACATAAAATTATACATCAAGTTAAATGCTTAACTTCTGTTGAATCATAAACACATGGTAACTGCATTAAATATGAACAGTATCCAAATGTTCAATAAAATAAGAACATGTATGTTTATATATAAGCATTTGAAAGTTAATGCAATCATATTTCATAATTAAAACACAAGCATTACTTAAATTAATAATCATTCACTCATATAATAAACGATAAATCCACTTGCAAGGTAATTCAAGTCTCATATGATAATCACACTGATAATTTCTGTGTTATAAAATACTTGTTGAAGTGTACCCCTACATTAACAGCACATTTTTCATAAACACAAAATCATAAATAATACACTTAAACGAGAGAACGTGGTAGAAGATAACTATACCACTTAATATGCTTCCCAGCATTCGTAAGGAATTCACTTGAGCTTTTTCCGAGTCCACAAATATACATCCGACCAGCTGCCCCCACTGACAAAATGATCCTGGACCAATTCATCTTTGTCGGTTCGGTTCGTTTCCATCCACTTATGAATGTTATTAGTCAACTCTATTTGCAAGAAATAAACTGGGACACTTATGCAGATTTAAAAATAACATGAGCTATATTTTCATCTTGTAAATACACATTATCTTTTCACAAAGTATTGTTTTTATTCACAGTTACATCAAACGCACAAGTAACACATTGCATCTTTCAGTTCTTAACACATATACACACACACACACAAACAAAAACAAAAAACCAAAAAAAAAAAAAAAAAAAAAAACCTTGAATACAGAAAAACTAATTTAAAATTTTTTCACATGAGCATGCCGTCCTTCTCGCATCAAGCACGCTTCTTCTTCTTGTTGCCAGATTTTTTTTCCTCTCTCCTTTCAGATAGACTGTTTTTTCACATGAGCATACCATCCTTCTTGCATCAAGCACACTTCTTCTCGTTGCCAGATTTTCTCCTCTCTCCTTTCAGTTAAAGAACTGAAAGGCTTAACTGTTCTTCCGGCAGGGCTTGGTCGGTAGCTTCCCCTTACCAAGTATGTGCATGACAACTAGGATAGATGGAATTGTAACATATTACTTAAATTAAGATATATTATGTAACACAGGTTATGGGGATTGAAATTAATAATGTATACAACATATAGATTCTTTAAGCTCAGGAAAGCTGCTCAGCATGAATTCTTCAATGTTTTCTTCATAGGTGAAGTATTATAGTTCTTAGTTGTACTGTGACTGAGCGGATAACTGCATGTTAGAATAAATATGGAGTTTTTCTTAAAATGTCTTCTGTGAGGGCATCCTTTTTTAGAAGCTAATTATTTGTGCTTTATGTTAATTAAATCAACAACAAACTGATCACTTTTGTAATTGCTTCTGTGAGCTTCAGTGAATAGTTTTGTATAGGGTAGCCTATAGATCAGTGTTTCTTAAGCTTTCTATCATCATGACCCACACATATGCAAATGCTATTTATCTCAACCCACATGCATATAGTTACAGCATATTGGGACTTATATGCATATAATTTTTGTTAAAAAATAAAAGATGGGAAGAAGAGAGTAAAGAATAACATAGTTATAAGCTAATAATAAATAAATATTTATAATTATGAATAGTTAGTTTCTAATTACAAAATAATTAATGATTTAAAAGTATACATAATTAAATAAATTTAACTTTTTGCAATCTCCCCCAAATTGTGACTTTTAAGTATTCTGTATATTATGTATTGAAATTCTGGTTTAACATATTGATTACAATCATCTCTCTCTATATATTTTCTGTTTTTATTTTTTTAAATGTTAATTTATTTTTTAATAATATTTCAATATTTCTTTGTTTATACATTTTTATGCTCGTAAAACAAATACAGAAGCAAATTCAATGATAAGAGAAATATGTGAGTGTAAAGTTTAAAACTAGGCAAAACAGCAGATTTATTTTGGCATAAATTTTGAATAAAACTCTGTGAATTTTCAGGGTAATCAAACACAAGTCCCTTTCAAGAAGGGGGAGGGAGAAAGAAAGACCTTTTTTCTTCCATGAAAAAGAGGGACCTGTATCTGATTGCCCTTAAAATCAAGAGTGTTGTAGTCAAAATTCATGATGAAACAAGTTTGTTTTACCTTATTTTTTTAAAAAAAGAAATTCAGTTTTAACTTCACTCAGTAGTAAAAATTTGATTTCATTAAACGGCAATAATAGATATTTATGTTAAAAGAAGGTAAATATTTATAGGAAGACCCAGTTTGTGTGATTTGCAATCTTAACATTTTGTTATTAGTATACATATCATATGAATACACGAGTAAATAATATAATATTTTTAGTCAAACTGAAAGATATTTAAAAAAAAAAAAAAACTTGTGGGCATATAAGTTATCTTGACCAATGCTCGTAAATGTCAATAAAATGCAGGCGTGACATTCATCATTATCACTGTCTATGTCTTTTGAAGAAGATTTTCTGTTAAGAATTTATAAATATATGCAGGTATTTTGCAAGATGTTCAGCAATTCTGCTTTAGTATTAGGATAGTTTGTTTAAGTTTGCATTTAGGATTTCAGATCATCTCAGAAATACTCACTTAGCTTCATGACTTGGGCTGATCAGTCAAGTTTATTTATTCTCATTTCATCTATCACTCTGTTACAATTTTTTGCTGTTGAAATAGGCATGATCTTCTGGAATGATAAATAGGCTATTTAAAAAAAATATTGTTACAGAATAGAATTGTGCATTTTTTATTCATAGGCCTTGGTATTCATATTTCTGTGCACAAAAACCAGTTGAACAAAACCAACCAAGAAAAACTGGCCTACATTATTGTGTCCACATTTATCCGATGGATCTCCACAACAACGTTTAGCATGATTCATCACTTCACAAGATATTCTTCATTGTTCACTATCTATGTGTTTTACATCACTATAGTTAATGGGAGGCACTTCATATATTGTCCATTAATCATTATTGTAAACACTGGAGATCACCAGTAGAATTCACATGCAGGCATCTCTTGATAAAGGATATGAAGGCAAGCATTACTTTCCAAAGCCAATCAAAAGTCTGCAGTTGCAGTTTCTAAAAAGATATGTTGGTTTAGTTGCAGCACATATTAGAGACATTGGCAGTTTCAATCTGTTAGCTTTGGCTTCCTAGGTCAAAATTGGCATTAGATAGCTTTGTTACCCTTTCATTTCACTACTACATCAATCACTGCTGGATGTAGTATTTGGAATTCCCCAGAAATCTAATAGAGAGAATGATTAAATCAGTGGATATTGATAATCATGGTATGTTGAACGTTACCAAGCTTGTTTCATTTAAGTTTTGCATTTTACGAAATTTAATGAAAATTTTTTTTTAAAAGCAAATAGAGCCTCACAATATATGTTTATATTATGAGCTCATGGTCTATTTATCAAAATAAGACATATATAATTATATTACTGGCAGTGCTACTTAGGTTCCACAGGGTATGTTATTACTGATTACTAGTACATATGATAGAAGCTAGTATTTAATGTTATTGTAAGTGAAGTTTCTTTTCTTTTTAAAAGTTTCATGGTTTAATTTTAATCATTTCAATTTTTTTCATGTCAGCTATCACTTAAATTATTATTCATTACTTTATTTTTTCTGTAGTTGATGAAGAAAATAGCAGAGGAACTCCTAATGCAGATTTGAGTAAAGTAAGCATGAAAAAGTTGTTGCATCAGACATAAGATTAATTTGAAGTTATTCCTTTGTACTAAAAGTATTTCTAATTTTCATGTTAAAGAGCTAAACTGTGTTACACTTTCTTTGTGTTCTTTACTTTTATCTTCAAATTCATTGTAAAGTTTGACAGACTTTTCAAATTAGCTAGGTTTAAAATTACCACAGTTTTATTTTGGAATGCTGATCAATTCAAGTACACAAGTCTGGATATTATGCCTTTTAATATCTGGAATTTCCTGATAGCTGTTTAACGCACAGTCACTGCTTTGATAGAAAAGCTTCACGAGCAAAGCACGATCCTTCTTTCTCAGAATCATGATGAAGCACTCAGACAAAGCATTTATGTGTTCCACTAGTGCTCTGCATTTTTATCACAGCTATGTCTGCAGTGCATATGTCATGTCTTAGTAGTTTGCATACCTCCACAGCAGCAATGTGAACCTTCACAGTGCCATCCATTGGCATATTTTAGAATTACAGTCAAAAGTCGTTAATTCGGACACCCATAATCCGGAATGACCTATAATCCGAACCTCAAAGCTACAAACTTTCTGCGCATGCGTCACGCGACGTGACGTAAGACCTTTACCGCTACGAATTTGTGTGTGCGCGTGCGCAAAATACGTTTACGAATGCGCTTTTAATGTATAACGGACGGGATAAGCTAAGCTAAGATTATATAATTATCTATTTCAGTTAATGTTGCAGATTGCGTTGTTCCTTAATCTTTGAATTGGATCCAGATTATTTTTTGTAGACTGTTAGAGCAATTTTATAAAAGTAAGCTTGAACTTTCGATTATGTCAAATAGAAATTATTATTATTATTATTATTATGTTATTGTGTCTTAATTATGTCAAATAGAATTTCCGATATATATTTACTAATATGTAAAGGATATACAAAGCGAAAGTATCTTTCGGAGTCCATTAAACAAAAAGTGGAATTGCTGCAAAAAATGGATAAAGGCATATCCTTTGTTTATCTAAACTTTAACGTTTGTTTCCTAAACTTTAACGTTTGTTTATCTAAACTTTGTTTATCTTTAACGCTGCGGGGGCATGCAATGAATTGGAAGTTGATCTGTCAGCACTATCCTTATCTTAAGGGCAGATGTTTTTATTTTATTTGGCTTATAATTGCTTACTCAATTTCGATTGACAAATTGGTCGGTATTCTCCACACAGCAATTATAAACAGCGGAACTTTGTAACTGAATAAGAAATTATGTCTGTTTATAGAATTAAAGAGAATGTATTATCACAGAAAAAACGAAGCAACTTAAACAACTTACATTGAAAGAAATGTTTAATAAAGTAAACAAATAAATATTAAGCTTTTTTTTTTTTTTTGTAAATTTTGATACCCTTTAGATCATAATTGTTCTTTATTTTTATTTTTTCATAAATTACGGTTTCATATTTTTAATTTTATAATTTCTTTCTGCATGCCATTTTACCAGATTTAAACTGATGATCTATAATCCGGAATCGCCCGAAGTCCCGATGATCCCGGATTATTAACGACTTTTGACTGTATATTTTTTTCTTCACAACAAAATTCCATAGCGATTGTTGTGGTAAAATATCAAATTATTCCGACTGGTAGTTTTTTAGAGGGTTTTGAAATCGCAGCTTTAATTATAATCACCCTGACATATATATATATATGTATATATATATTCTTCAGAAGTCATATTAACACTTTGGGGTTTTTTCCCTTTTATGGTGTATTTTCTTTTTATTGATATTTTTATGGAACTGTGCTTCATGATTCTCACTTATGGCTCTTGTATTCACATGCGAAAAAGTTTGGAAAGAAAGGGGAAGAAATAAAATGAAATAAATAACAGTACTTTAAAGTCTTTAAGAAACTTGCTAATTAATTTTTTATTTTTATGTTTTTTTGGTTACCCAAGAAATTTTCACACAATTTCAAAGGGTTTCATGCATTAGAAGAGTCTTAATCATTGTTTCCAGAATATCTTATTAATTCCTTAATTTGAAAACCAATAAAACAAAACCATTATTCCCCTTCTAAAATCTTTTGTTCTATTGCTTTTGGTTCTGTCTTTTATCTTTGATGCCTTCACCAAGATTTTTGCTAAATTTAGTAAAATGGGAGCATGTGAGGGAATGTATTAAGAGCTCAAAAATTGCATTTTTAAATGCTAGATTTAATGTCTGACTTTTAAACAAGAATTTTGTAATATATTTTTTCTTTTTCTTTCTGCTATTCCCTGCTTTCTCCAGCAAGAAGCAACTGTATTTTGTGTATCCACCATTAATCTGAGGAGAAAAGTTATAACTTTACACAGCCATGGCATAAGCATTTCTTGCAGTTTATACTGCTGATATAAAGTTCCATATCCATATAACTCTATATGCAGAACAAGTAAATGATGCTAATGGATACTAATTTTGATTTGAAACAAGACTGCTTTTAAGCTAGTGTCCTAGGAATCTCTGGAAACCTCAATTTTTCAGGATTATTGTTCAGGAACATGAACAAACTCAGTATCAAAATTTGATGTTTATTATAATGTCAATATTTTGTGGCAACTTTTTGTTATTAGTTTGGCTTGAATTTTAGGTTAGAACAAACAAACCAACAAACAACAACAACAACATCAAAAAGTTTTTTTTATAAAGAAGGCCTTCCAGCCATTGTTAATTTAAGATGATTTTCTTTTCAAAGTTTGTTTCCATTCATCCGTAGTTCTTAAAAATAAATTAAGAATTTGATTGATTTCAACCAACTGCCATTACAGGACTGAGAGGTTAATCAAATATAAATTGTATTGAATTGCAGTCTTGGCAAACAGCTGTAATTGCTAAAATTAACATTTCTATATCAAATGTGTGTATCATTTTTCATTTACATATGTAATATGAAATAACTTTTTTTCTAGGTTGTTGTTGTATATGAAACTTCAGATGGGCCAACAGATTCACCATTAGTAAAAGAAAATTCAGATACCAGTGAAGTATCTGCTGTTGAAGAATCTAATATTGCTGAAGATCCAGAATGTGAGGAAATTTTACCCAGTTTAAGTTCTACGACTGAAGGTTTGTGTAGTACAGCTTTTATTTTTTTGGGGGGAGGGGGCGGGGAGCAGTATAATGTATATTATAATGAAATGTACAAATATGTGTATTTAAAGTCTTCAAAATTCAAGTATGATTGTGATTATGAATGAAATTGTTTTGTATTATGCTTTTTAAGGAGATTTATTTTATGATTTTTTTTGGTATGTTATTAAAATTATATCTAATTGGAAAGGAGACAGGAAACATATTGTGTCCCTAAATTTGCATAAATAAACAGTGGTTTAATTCTAAGCAGCAAATGTTTGATATTACGGAGAATGTATCTGATTTAATAAAATAATATATTTGCATGTGTGATGCATTTAATATATAACAACATGCAGATGCATGTTATATGACATGCATATTAACAACATGCAGATGCATGTTGTTATTTTTTTTTTTTTTTTTCATATGATTTGACTGGCACTTTTTAGAACTATTTTAGGTCAGAAATATTTTAGATTCCTGATATTTTCTGATTTTAGAGTACTTGTATATGTGTAATAAGGTAAAATTATAAATCTGAAATTTTATATATACTCCATGCAGTTTTTTTAAATTATGTATAATGATTTTAGCAACAGAATTTGTGTACGATGCACGAAAAAGAAGAGGGGGAAGGGGACAGTTCTATATCTCCCATTCTACTGGGCTGATTGACGAAATTCAACTTGCGTTTTTCGTGTCTCGAAAGCGTGCCTTAGGATATGTATTAGACTTATATATAGGATTGTTCTAATGTAGGTATTTTGACACAAAAGGGAACTTTTTTGAAATGATATGGCAATTTTTTTCCATATTTTAATTCTACCACTCAAATTACGCCAAACTGCCAAGTTTTGTAAAAATCGCACAAGTATTTTTTAAAAAATAAGCTCTCAAAATTTTAGCTCCTCAATGTTAATTGAGTCTAGTATATATTTACTGATACCCCTTTTTTTATTAAACTTATTTGATTCTTCCTTTCACATTTCAAAATTTAGGTTCATTCCAAATAAAATGTGCCAAAAATTTTTATTTTTAAATAATATTTATAATTTTTATAATCTATAAAATTTTTACCATCATTTTAAAATAATTGTATTTCTAAACATACCTGCAAAAAATTAAAAATTTTTATTAAAAATTTCTGAAAATATATGCGAATTTATATATTGGCGCGTTTTGAAATTTGGCATATTTGTTGAAAGTAATAATAACATCAAATATAGTTTAGGCACTTTGTTATAATTATTTTAAAGGAGAATGATGTGACTTTCTTTCCGTTCATGCACAATTGTAAAAAGTTAAGAATGATGTGACTTTTTTCGGTCCTTCGCAATGGAAGGGAGAGGAAAATGGTTTGCCATATATTAAGAAGTTTGCCAAGTGAATTATTCTTGGCACAAACTGAAAAAAGACGCCAAGATAAATATGTGAATTTCTCCAAAAATTTCACACGAAATTTTACAAAATTTAATATTTAGGCATAATTTTGAATCATAGAATCGAAATATGGAAAAAAAATTAGTATGTTATTTCAGAAAAATCCGATTTTGTTTCAAAATACGTACATTCGAACAGTGCTACATATAAATCTAATATGTATCTTAAGTCGCACTTTTGAGACATGAAAAACGCAATTTGAATTTCTTCAATCGGCCCAATAAAATAGGAGATATAGAACTGTGCCTTTTTTTTTTTTTTTTTTTTTTGGGGGGGGGCACGGTGTAGATTGAAGAATCGAGAGCCAATCATTTATTTGTGGAATGTTTGTCCTTATGATAATGATTATGAATAAATTTATACCTTAATAATAAGCAGTAATTTTCTTATTCTTGTTCATACATAAGTACTTAATAGTATAAAATATGACATGTCATTAATTCTTCCAGGGAAAAATCATTTTGGGGACAATTGCTGAATATGCCTTTATTACTGTATACAGTATGCATTTACTGCTATATCACTTATAGTTTGTCTTTTTTTTTTCTCATTAATGTGCCTTTTGAAAAGTAAGAAGGGAAAAACTGTATTGTATATTCCATTTCTGAAGTAAAAGCTTAAATGAAGAAGAGCATAACATATTAAAATACAAAAATAAGAAATGTAATAATATTATTGTATTTTTTTTTCAAAGAAGTTATTAATTTAAATAATAATCTGTTATTTACACAATATATTTTTCTAACTGTGGGTGCATTTTGTGTTGTTAACATAACTCAAAGTTTCTAAATTATATACTGGAAAAGAAAGGGAGGGAGAATAGTCAAGGAAAAGAATTATATTGCTAAATATAAGGATAGTTGAATAACAGAAGCAAAAATTTTCAATTTGTGTCATATTTCAATGTTCTTAAAAGTTTTAGATTTTTGAACCATTTTAAATTAAGGGTGTTGTACTTCTCATTGCAACATTTTAAAGTAGTTGAATTTATTGAGAGAATTTTTTTAAAGCTGCAGCATCTCTCATTTGTTTTCTGGTATTGCTAATAATTCTATCATGTTTTTGAGAAGCACTGCCTTTAAAAAGAATTTTTATTAAATTTTTGCAGTCCTTCACCCCAAGAAACAGTAAAAATTAGTTTTTGTAACCAAGGAAGTTTGTTAACGGTTTAAATAATTTTTGTGGGTTATGCATATTTATACATTTTAATAGTGCTTAAATAAAAAGTGGTCATATTGGATTTCATTTCAGGAATATTAATTTTTTAATAATTTTATGTTTCTATAAATTTTTTAACTGTTTAAATATTTTTTTGTAATTTTGTAAGTTTTTTCTCATTTTCATACTTCACTATTCAAATGCGTTACAGTGGAGTATGAAAATGGGAGTACTTAAGTACTTAATTTTCTTTTCAGGAGTATATTTATTTTTTTTATAAATATGTTTGTGTGGAATGATGAAAATATAATTTGAGAAAGATAATCATTAAAAAAATCCTTGCATAATTAAAATGCTTTTTTTTTTTTTTGGTGTGTGTCATTTTGCTGTCTTTGAATGCTGATTCTAAATAGCATTCTAACTGTATTTTATATCAGCATTGCCTTTCATTATATGATGATTTCTCTTGTTACAATTTAAGATATATATATATAAGCTAATATGCAATTTACAGATTGCTTTAATTAATTATTACATATAAATAAAACAAAGGAAACATTTTGCTGATATGCTGGTGCAAAAACAGAAGTGTAAGGATGACTATGCCAAGCAGCTATGCATAAGCTGCCAAACAGTCTAATAATAAATGAATAATTTTTTTGTTATTCATTACGAGTGGTGCGTCGGAATCCACAAAAAATTAATAAAAAAAAAAAATTAATAAAAATAAAAACAAAAAATTAATAAAAAAAGGAACTTTTTTTAGCTTTTTTTTTTTAATGTCACATACAGTTGTCTTTCCAAAGCCATACTTCTCACAAAATTTTGAGATGAATATACCATTATCCATTTTTTGCAGGAATTCAACTTTTTGTTTTGTGAACATCGAAACGTGCTGTCACTTTGTAGATCCTGTTGCAGCTCCAAGAATTAGAAACTCTTTTCAACATAATCACAAGTTCAAACTTAATTTATATTATATTTATTATTATAATTTTCATAAAATTGCTGTAGCAAAAACAGCCTGCAAAAAATAATAATCTGGATCTAAATTATATACTGGAAAAGACAATATTTTTATATAAGTAATTGTCAGAAAGTTAAGGAACAGTGTGATCCGTTACATTAGCTGAAATTCCTTAGAATCAGTAAAGTATAGTTTTAGCCCAGCTTAATAGCATTCGCTATTTCTTATTGGCTATGTATCATAAGATTGGTGACAAAAGACAAGCTCTTCCACTAAAATTTGTTTTGCTTCTATCGTGCACTGAGACAAGCCAGAATTGTATTACTTTAGTTGTTTATTACACTTATGTCTATTTCTTACACAGGCTTAAGGTTTATCTGAGTCCTGAATAAATGCATTCCCATCTATATTTAAGGCTTATCGAGGGTTGGCGCGAAATATCTTACTACATGATGCGAGTCCTAAATTCTGCCTCCAAGTTCTAAATTTTTGCTGTACCTAAATTTTAGATCCCAATGCTTTCCCTAAATTCTAAAAATTTTGTAATCCCTAGATTTTTTTGCTCAGTGCTTCTCTAAATTCCCAAAATTTTGTCTTTCTTAAATTCTGCAGCCTGGTGCGGCCATACAAGCTCTGGCACCAGTTCTGGGTTTATGTGAATAACAAAATAAGTTATTCAAATAGCACTAAATGTAAACTTTTGGCCTATGAGTATCATTAACAAAATCTGTTTTTAGTTTATGAAAGGAAATTTTTGTTAAATTTTTCCTCGTCATTATTTCTTAGTGCATTTAACTATAATCTGTAATCATCTGAAAGCGTAATGTCAACATAAAATGTTGCCATAATCTTTGTTATTCAATTACTTATATAAAAATATTGTTTATGCATTGCTGCATGAGTCATTATCAAAATTGTCGAGATGATAAACATGCAGTGATGAAAGCAAAATATAATAAATAATGATTCGTCATGTTGGCATCTAGGATGTAAAATATTTGTGGGTGTAAAATTAATGATGTTTCTATGTAGAATGTTTTGGTTTGAGATGTGTGCCAAGCAGATAGGTAGCTATTAAGCCAAGTTATTGATCACACAGATTTATGTTAAGCCCCCTTGGGGAGAAAAAAAAAAAAAAAAAAAAAAAAAAAAAAAGAGAGAAAGAAAGAAAGGGGGGGAAAAAAGGTTGTTGGTGGATTTGAGGTCAGGAGGTAGATCAATCTGGATCGTGGACTTTGTACTGTATTTATAAAACATTTTCATTTTTGTAGAAGCGCATATATTTTAAATTCAATATGATAAAAAATTATCAATTCATTATTCAGTTAGAAGTAAAAATATTCTTAACTGCTGTACTCAATGAATAAATTACATCTAAAAATATGAAACATGTTTAATGACGAATTATGAAGGTAACAGCAGTAAATGCACTCACACATACTTTGTAACCACAAAATCATTTAAAGAAAAGAAAATCTTGTTACATTTTATGTATTTCTAAGCAACAATTCAGATGCTTTTCAGAAATTGTTAAATCAAAGGTATAAAATTTAATTCAAATCAAAGGCATCATTCTATAATAAGCGGAAAACTCATAGCACTTTTAGCAGTTTTGTATTGCTGAAAAGAAGCGCAGTTTATTCCATCAATGACATCTTTATTAATTTATTTTGTATCGAAACTGAAGTAGTTGAAAAACAATTGGCCTCATACTTAAAATCACTTTATTATAAATATTCGGACTGAATTTTTAAAAACTAGTATACCACTGTAAAACAATGATAGAATATTTTTTTCCTTCCAATTATAGATATTGCCAATGAGTATCTTATGTAAGCGAGAATTTGAATACATTGTTAAAATTTTATACAGGCACAAAATAAATGCTTAGTATGATGAAAAAATTGATCTGAATGCCTTGAGTTTAGAATTTATCAAGTTATAACATTACGTTACATTTAGAATTTATCAAGTTATACATTACATCCATTTTGTAGATACATTTCATATTGAAAAATGGAGTATTAATTTCATCTTCATACATGGAAATTTTATGCTGAGATAAATGAATTTTTTCATTGGTGTATCCACATTTACAAGGAGCATTATCCATAGAAATGTTTTGTCGAATGAATGAATTTTTCCATTGGTGTACCTGCACTTACACAATATCCTGTTCATCTGATTGTAATGAAAAGGTCTTAGCAATATTGGTGTTTGTAGAACGTTTATCTATGTTGAAAAGCAAACTTTGCAGCCGAGGTGGATTAAATATTCATTTTTATTTCAATTGTCATTTGTGGCTACTCTTAATTGTGCCTATTCAAGAACATTTACAGTTTTGACACTGATGCGATAGGAAGAGAGCAGTGAGGCAGCATCTTAGCCAGAATGTAGATAGAAGCAAAAGATGCACATTTATCCGTATGGCAGCTTAGTAAGAGAATGTTTCGTCTTAAGTTCTGAATTAGTTATCTCCTCAACATTATGTAAGTTATATGATATGCATTGATCTAGAAATGATGCAGTTCAGAAAAAGTTATTATTGTTTTTAAAATAGAGAGGAAATGTACCCAAATTAAAAATAAGGAATTAAGAGGCTATTCCTAATTTAAATTATAATTTTGATTTACATATTTTTTTTACACACAACACATATGTGGTCTCACCAGGGGTCAAGTGGTAAAAGCACTGTACATTGGTAATTGGGTTCCAAGGTTTTAATCCTGCCAAACGAGCTGGCTGTAAGCACATTTTTGTCGTTTTTCCTTTGTGTAAGTTAGATATGAGCTGGTTTCCCTTTGGAAATTCTCCATGAGGGCATCCCACCCTTCTTGAGTGCATTGCAATAATTAAACCAAACCAAACCAAAACACATGTATATGTGTTGATGCATATTAAATATTATATATAAGATATTTGAAGTAATGGAAAGATTCTTTCAACATCAGAAAGAAATAGTTTACCATGGTCGGCAATATTAATAGTGTATAGAAATGTATATGGTATTAGGTGGTAGGAACAGTCTTTTGCATTCTTGTTTGATTTCCCTTCTTGAAATATGTGTATTGGAATAGAGGGATTTCACATTAGAATGATTTCAGCCCCTATGAAAACGGTACATTCGTGTGGTGGGTTACTCAATTTTTCAGGTATCTACATAGCAGAAGTTACATAGATTGAGATCTAGGAAATATGCTGGCCAGTTGCATCATTTCCATTGTGTTTTAGTATAGCAGCCAATTATCACAATTTTTTAAAAAAGATTAGAGGGGATTCTATGCAGTGGGAATGATTTTCATCTAACATGGAAAATAATTCACCTTATGCTTATTTGTTGCAAAATAAATTAGGCTTAATGGAATCCTAATTTATTTTGCAGTGGAAAATAGATTTAATGGAAAACTGTAAGTTAGATTTGGTAAAGGATTCATTTTCATTTTTTAAGAAATCTTGTAAATAATTGTTAGGTAACAAATTGCATGTTTAAGTCATATTTATTTTTTGCTAATAATTTGGGTTTATTTGAATATTTAGATTACATCTAAACATTTATTCTGATCTCTGTTTGTAAGTAAATTTTACTACAGTGTGCAAACTTATTCTTATAGGTTCTGATGTAGGAAGAAAGAGAAGCTGTGAGAATGATGAAAACGAAGTATGATTTTTTTGTTTTAAAATAATAAATAATAAATTAATAAATTGTAATTTTTAAAAAATTATATGCTTATATATCTGTTATTGTGTACTTTCTGTAGACAGTATTTTCAAATAATTCTGTATAGTCATACATGGTCTGGCAATTTCAAAATAGAACAGATAAAAATAATAAATTGCTATAAAGAATTACCAACCTTGATTTATTCAAAATAATCTCCTGTGAAACACATGTGTTGTTTTGCATACTCATAGAGTGATTGTCAGCAAAAATCAAAAGGAAAGCAGTTTCAAACTGCCATTGCAGTTTTCTGAATTGTGGGTTAACTATCAAAGTAACATATTTAAAACAGGAGTCACTTTGTTTTGGGAAAATAGGAAATAATCACAAGGAACTGTATCCAGTTATCAAACAAGGATAATGAAATGCAAATGACTTTTTTTTGGTTCAAAACTCCAGTACAAGACATGTGCTGAGGACATCATCATAAAGGCAAAACTATGTTATTCTCGGATCTTACAATAGCATAGATATTTCAGAATATCCTCTTAATAAGGAATATTTTGCCTTTTGTCCTGAATTCTTTGCACAGTTTCTATTGTTGCAGTAGAGGACAGCATCTCTTGATTGCTGCTTTTGAGCAATGGTTATTTTGGTTTTTGGAGAAGTCTACCTATTTCCATTTAGCATTTCTGTTCCACCCTTCCTTAGTTATATCAGAATAGGAATATCATGGTGTTTGTAAGTTTGTAATGAGGTAACTTATTTTAAAATAGGTCCCAGAGATATACTTTTTAAAGAGGCTATCATCAGTAATTTCTCTTTCATTTACACTTCTTAATGGTAGGTAAGAGTTTCACCTTTTGCCTGATAAAAATGTCACATTTTCAAATAGCAAACAGAAAATGTGTTTATTGTTATGATAACAAAATTCTTCCTTCCCTTGCCAGTGTTGAATATTTACCCAGAGCCTTTATAATTATTTGTATGCAAACTTCAGTTTTAAATTTGAAAGAAATTAACTTTACTTATACATCTATTAGTACTGCATTCAGGGTTTATATATTGCATTATCAGGTTGCTTTTATATGTTTTTTAGATTATTCTTATATTCTGATTCACGTAGTTGAAAAACTGCTGGGGAATAATTTATAACTTATTGTTTCCTCTGATCATTATTCTTCTTTTCCTTTCATATTTTCCCCTTCGTGTAATTACATTTTATAGTCTCATATTTCATTTTATATCAGTTTAAATATTTAATTATTTATCGTAAAGTTTTTATTAATCATTTCCTCTCCTCTTTAACTAGGAACCACTAAGAAAATTACAAAAAGTACTAACTAAAACATATTCAAAATCTCAGATGTCTTCTGTCCAATCTCAGGTATCATCATTTGTATTCTAAGTCATTAATAGTTTTGTTATTTTTATCTTTATTTAAAATGCTCTTAAAATGTATATGTGAATACATTTTTTAACTCCTTTATGATCTTGTTGTGTTTAATATTTTAATAGGAATCTAGGACATATTCCAAATTTAACACGACTTCTTTTGAAGCTCAAACACCTTCATTCTTGTCTACAGGCCAGCATATGGCATTTCCAACTAGAAATTCAGAGGTAATTTTTAAAATGTATATGAAGTATATTTGTGTAAATGCATACACAAGGTGAATAGGAAATCCCTTTTGTTTCTAAATAGTTGGTAAATGGAGTTACAGCTAGTAATATCTAGCTGTAATAAAAGAATCACGTGCTTCAAAATGAGACCATTTGCAATGCCCTCCCCCTACTAACAATATTTAGAACTTTGCAATCTTTTCTAAAATGTTATGAGAGATATGGGAGAAAATCAGTTACAAAGTTGAAAAGCAGTTGAAAATCATTTTACAAATGATTTAATATGATAAAGCATATACTGGGGGCATGGTTACAATGAATAGTTTCCCATACAGAATAAAATATCTGAATTCAATGTGTGATTTTTGTTTGTAGGAATTTTTATTCTGAAATGGGATGGGATTATTTTTAAAGTGCATGTAAATGTCTCAGAAATTATCACATGCAGATCTGATGTGATATTATACTTCTATTAGGAAATAAAAATTAGGAATTTTAATATATACTCTGATCAGATGAATAGGTCTGTATACTGTGTCTAAAAAAATGGTGACCTTATCTTTAGCAGTATAGTAAGATGGTGCTTGTGTATGTTAATGCCAATGAAATGGTGTGTAGACTGCATGAAAGTGTGTGATTATATTTCTAGCAAATCTATATCTAAGAACTGAGACCATTGCTAAAATAGTTTGATTACTTAGGGACATGGGAAGTTCTCAGGCAGATGAGCAAGTGCTTGTGTAGAGCACATATACAAGTCTGCAAGAGCAGAAAATATTTTAATGAATATGTTAGCCTCTTCACAAAGCAGTGTGAGAGATATCGTCAATAGTGTACATGGCTTATCTCTAGGGTGTATATAGCAAATAGTTGCACGAGCATAGTGCCCATCCTAATCATGCCACTTCACAGCAAGAACTGTTGCTATAAGACAGTGAGTGTTGATTTCATTGGTACAGTTAGCCAAGTCAAGGACAATGCTAATTTTTCCTTTCCTAAGGGAAATAAGGCATCATTTCAAAGTGGTGTATTTCTAAACAAACACATTAATCTTTATTGCAGTGTGAACTATTGTATGTGAGATTATGTTGTCAAATATCAGGTATAGTATTTGGAGAAACTGCATATTGATTTTTGTCCAGTTAAGGAGTTACAGTGTAGTGCTTTCTAACAAATATATTGGTAGCATTGTTGAATTGCATTCATAATCACCTAGATGTCATTCTTATTGATTTCTTTGATTACATAAAAGGCCATAATCATTCATGTGTTGATGAATGTATATCCATAGATACTTTCTTGAATACAAATATGTGGTGAATGACTGCAGATAAATGTAACAATGTTTTCTTGAAAAGAAATGTGTACTTTCTTGAATACAGTGGTAATCTCTAAGAACATAATTGGCATTAACATAATTAGCAATGCGAATCCATTTGCATGTTTTATTGATTGATTTCATCAAGCTGTATTGATATAATATGTATTTATTTATCAAGTTATATTTTGGTGTCCATGTCAGCGTTTTTATTTTTCAAATATTGTAACAAAACATTATTCATCAGTTTTGAATATTTTAAGTTGTACAATTGATTATTTATTTTGTCTTCATGCACACTTCATCTTTTCATGCTGAATTGATGGGGCTTTATAACTTCAGAATTGACTTTTGACATTTACTTTTAACAGTCTTTGAGATTCAGGTTTGCAGTTTTTTTAAGTTCTGAATTTTACTGGTTGGGGGCACTGTAATGGGTCTCATTTTTTAAATCATGTACCCTAGATTTGAAATTTGTAGCTGTAGCTGTGACCAGTTGTTTAAGAAGTAAGGAAAAGAACCTTTATTCTCTTATACAAGAACCTGGATCAGAATATTTCAGCCATGTTTCCTCCTCTACAGGACTTGCTGAAGATGTAGCTTCTACCATAATTTCCCATTTGACTACACAATAAATTTCCCTTGAAGAACTTGATGTGATAGGGAGTGAAGGAACTGTAATTAATACTGGTTTAAAAAATAGTGCTATCCACCAGATCAAACTGCATGTTAACTATATGTATCCTGCACTTCAATGAACTGCAGTTCTGTCACCTATTTTATCTTTTGGGTAGTGTTATTATAGAGCCAAAATCCTTCATTGGATCAATAGAGGAAAAAATCGCTGGCTGTGAAAAAATTCCACTGGTTCACTTTGAACATGTTGAATTCTTTATTCTTCAAGCTGACAGAAAAGTATTGAGCAAGGATCAATTATACCTACTTGATATTTCTGCTGCTATAAAATCAGGTAGAATTTTAGATGATTTAGCAGCTGATGATTCTTTTCATTTTCACACCCAAGATGACAAACAGCAAGTGACAGTCTTCCAAAGAAATATAGCTATCCCCTTCCTAGAATTGACAAATTCTAAAACTCTTTCTGGAAGCAAGTGGTTTTTGACTCTTCATTTAAAGAGTGTATATTGGCAGGGAGAGATACACCCTGAAGAGAATAAAAAAATACCATTTGCTATTGGAGAAGGACTTTGACAGTTCAAGATGATGCCATTTGGATTATGTAATGCACCGGCAATATTCGAGCGCCTCCATGGAGACCATGCTAATTGGTCTTTTTTATGAAAGCTGTCAAATATATCCAGATGACATCATTATCGCCAGGAAAAGTTTTGAAGAATATTTAGAAAGTCATAGAAAGGTGCTTCAGAAATTGAAGGAATTGGAATCTAAAGTTATGCCTTGCCAAATATAAATTTTTTAGACAGGAAGTGACTTACCTCGGACATATAATATGTGCCATAGGTGTGTGTAGGGATCCAAAAAAAAAAAAAAAGTGTCAGCATTATAAAGTTGGAGATATCCTGAAAATACCCATTCAGAGCAAAATTTTCTCTGGAGATTTGCATCTATTATAGAATATAGTAGAGTCTTGCAAACTCGACTCTCGATATTGCGACATTCCGTATAACTTGACAACTTTTTAGGAACTTTTTTAAGATATCTCTAGGCCAAACAAGACAGATATTTCATATACTACATATAATTATTATTTATGTGTTTGTCTTTCCTGTTCTGTTAAAAGATTTGAGTGTTCTTTTTCTGCAATTTGTCCCGTTTTCACATTTTGCCATTAATTCTTGGAACTGTCTAACAAATTTCAAGATATGTTGTAATAATTATGAGTGTGACAATCCACTATAACAAGAACTACTAATAATTTTTCTTCATTCTTGTATGCAAATTTTTTACTCAATTACTTTACAGTATTTGCACTTTTTATGACTCCTATTGTGTTAGAACTTGGCGTAAAAAAATCAACATTTATTTAATTGTATGCTGTACCTTTCTGGGTCCATTATTATGCTACACATGTGTAGAGTAATTTGCAGTTAAATATTAAAAGAGTTCTGAAAAACTGCCCCCCCTTATTCCGTATAACTCTTCAGAAACTCGACAGTCCCTCAGTCCACATTATGTCGAGTTTGCAGGACTCTACTGCATTTGTAAATGATTTTTTTTTTATCACAAAACACCTTCACAAATTGACAGAGAGCAAGCAAAATTTGTATTGGGCAAAAGAATGTGAGGATACATTTAACAAGCTGAAGGAGGCTTTAACATTTCTACTAGTATCCTGACATATCCTCATCTCGACAAACCATTTATTCTTGATGTGGATGCGAGCAGTGCTGTTTTGTTCTAAGAAGTAAACAGTCAAGAACGTATCTTGTCATACTGCAGCGAGCGTCTATCTAAACTGGCGAGGAATTACTGTGTCACCAGTAAAGAATTGCCTGCCATAATTAAAGCAATATATTTTCCACTTTTACCTTTATGGCAGAAAATTCCTGCTCCACCAGATCATTCATTCTTGACCTGGCTGTTAAATTTCAAGAATATCAAATGCCAGATAGCCAGATTGATTCAGAGACTCCAGGAATATGACATCACTATCCACCAACAGAAAGGATCATCACATAGAAACGCCACTAACCTGTCCAAAAGACCCTGCCCAGGAAGCTGCTGATATTATTTCAAGGTCAGAGCAAAATGTGAGCTGGTTAATCCAGTTACACATCAAGTTAAAAAATTCAAAATCATCTGACTCAGACCTATGAAGCAGTCTGGAAAAAACATTTGTAAGCCAGGGACATTAATTTACTTAATAAAGTCTTAAAATAAGAAGCCTACTTGGTAGGATATTTTGACCTATAGTCCTACGACAAAACAATATTGGGCTCTCTTTGACATACTTCATATTCAAAACAGCTATTCAATTTCATCCAATATTCAATTTCATTCAATCATACCAATTTCATCAAATATTATTTATCTGGTTTCAGAAATTATCACACCAAATATATTCTTAATTTTTTCTTATTCTTCACAATAATTTTAATTCTTAGTATATTACACAGTAATCATTATGTTAAAACAGTCAAAAACCATAAATGAAATTGTGAACATATTATTCAAACAAATGGTAAAATATATCTTCAAACATATAATAATGTGTTAAGAATAGGAAATAGAATTTCACGTTAAGATATGATATCAAAATTAATAACTTCAAATAATATTGTACAAAATAATGGCATCACAAGAAATAAGAAATATATGTACCAAATTCGAAAACAAAAGTGTTAATTCTTCAGAGTAAGTTTTTAATACATGACAATTCTTTAAATAGTCGGTAATGGATTTCCATCAAAATCAAATACCTTTAGTTTATTCAATTAAACTTCATCAAAACTCTTTAATTGCCATCAACTTCAAATTCAAAAACGGAAATCTTAATTTTTCAAAGTAATAATCATTCAAAAACAAAATTTTCATCAAAATCAAATGCCTTTCATTTCTTCAATAAACTTTATAAAAAGGTGTCATCAAATATTCATAATAACTTGAAAGAACATTACTTCCTGATTAGTATTACTTCATCAAATAAAATTAGCTCTACTTACGTACTGACGAATCGCAACAACTGGGATCTTGTGATATTATTCCACAGGTTTCCACAGTAGTCCATCATTTACAGTTATACTTGGTATGTTATATGGTAGTCTAGGGGATTTAAAAAGTTGAAGGGAAGAACAGATTTTAGTTCAAGGGGTCATGTGGGATGAGGTTAGGATTAAAATAGAGGAAGGCAGTGGCATTTTACAGGTATTTAATGATGAAAGAATAAACATGATTGTGGTATTCTAGGAGTGAAAAGAAGTAAAATAAAAAGTTCAATTCATCATGAAACGGAATTGCATCATCGTGCAACATTGTTGAGCGACATAGTTCAGTTCCATCCATTGCCACGTCATAACCTCATCTGAATGGAAGTCTCTTTTCATTTCCTCATGCAGCCTGAAGAAGTATCTAGCTGCTGTAGCTGTTGTTAGATTTAGGAAAAAGCGGACGAGTTGTAGGAGTGAATGTCCACATATATATATACATATACATATAGAGAGAGAAAGGAAGAGAGTTATTGATTCATTAATGCATATTCCCCCCATCAACGTACCTTACATAAGTCCCGAATCCCTGGGCCTTTGAAATAGGAGACCAGTGCATTTGCATTTAGTGGGCACTCTTTGATAATGAACAGAAGACTCGGTTTTATGAATTTTCCCTGATGGGAGGTCCATTCTGTGTATTCATATTGCTTTATTTATTATTTTCGATTTCCTTTTCAGGGATTTTCTGAAAGACAGAATGAAAACGAAATACTTCCGAGTGATCTTAGAACTCAAGTATCTTCAACATTAGCTGTAAATGTACCTCAAATGTCAACTTTAACTCAGTTTGGTTTGAAAACACCTGAGCTACCTCAGATGTCTTCAAACCAAAGCAACATAGCTCACACGCAAAAAGGCACAGATGGTCCTGTTATTCTTTCTGTTATTGGTTCTGCTGAAGATGCTTCTAGGGAAGATGAAATACAGAAAGTTCTGCAAGAAGACTCTCCAGGAGTTGTAAGTATTGATTTGTTAATTAGTCCAAAGGGGCTTTGTCTCTGAATGACTATTGTTTTCGTTTTGCGATTTTTCGTTGATTCACTATACATATCCGTTTCACTTTTCAAGCTGTTACCACAAATTTTTAATAATGTTATGTTAGGGAAATAGAAAATGCAGAGTTCTGAATTACTCAAAATAAATCTTAAAATATTTAGTAACTTAAAAGCATAACTAATAAAATTTCACACTTTTCAGATAGGCAAAAAAATAATTTTGGTTTATTTAGTGAGGAATAAAACCTAATTCTCTACAAAAATCTCTGTTTTCCCTACAAAAAATGAATTTTAACTACTCAAGTATCTTCAGTGCTGTTCGATGACCTTTTGCCATGTGTCTGGTAACTTCATGATTTTGCAATGTTTCATATTTTGTAAAACTTTTAGTGAATTTTTGATTAACAAACTCAAGGATCTCAAAGCGAGCAATGGCAACGGTGTACAGGAAAAACATTTTTATCTCCATTGCGCGAGACTCTGTATCGGAAATTCTAAAGGATATGCTCAATTTAAAACTATTTTGTGATATTGCTATTGAACTGAATTTTAAGGTTTAAGTGTGAAGAGCGTGATATTTAATAAATAAAGGTAACAAACAAAATGTAAAAAAAAAACGCCTCTTTGGGCGTAATTTAAAAATTATTAGTCCAAGGGGACATAATTTTTTTTTTTAGTCCAAAGTGGCTTTGTCCCTGAAAGACTATTGTTTTTGTTTGCGATTTTGCGCTGAATCACTATAAATGGCGAATCACTTTTCAAATTGTTGCCACCAAATGTTAGAGTCTTGCATTATATTTAAAGAAATTAAATAATGAAAAATCTGCATAAATATATGTATACTTCTCGCATTGTGATAAAATGACGGTACATAGAGCCATCGAATTTTGAATGATGTAATCGTCCTATGAATATGGGCATGTGGAAGACCAAATTTGAAATTTGGAATTTATTTTATTATCGGTTTCATATTTTTTAAAACTTAAATGAATTTTTGAGTAACAAACTCAACGATTTAAAAGCGAGCAATGGCAACACTCTACAGGGGGAGGGGGGGGAAAGACCTTTTTATCTCCAGCGCAGAATTGTGTATCAGAAATTCTAAAGATATGGTCATTTCAAAATTATTTTGCGACATTTCTATTGAACTGAATTTTATGGTTTAAGTGCAAAGAACATGATATTCAATAAATAAAGGTAACACACAAAACGTTAAAAAAAAAGCCCCTGTAGATGTAATTTAAAATCTGAAACCTTTCAGATTAAAACAATTTTTTTATTATTAATTATCCTTGTTTATATAAAGGTTTTTTTTGTAACTCTCGGATATACCTATTGCAGTAATCTAATTTTGTGAAAATGAAATAGTTAAAAAAAATGTTTGTTTTCTTTTCCCTCTTTGTGCACTAAAATTTTTAATAAGGTTATGTTAGGGAAATAAAAAATTCAGAGTTCTGAATTACTCAAAATAAATCTTAAAAGATTCAGTAACTTGAAAGCATAACTAATAAAATTCCACACTTTTCAGATAGGCAAGAAAATAATTTTGGTTTATTTAGTGAGGAATAAAACCCAATTTTTTCTCTACAAAAAATGAATTTTAATTACTCAAATATCTTCAGTACTGTTCGATGACCTTTTGCCATCTGTCTGGTAACTTCATGATTTTGCACTTGTAAGATTCTGGTCTTTATCAGCAAAAACTCAACCAAGTGCAATTGGAAATCATTGCTATAATTGAAATTTTTTCCATTTAAGATGTTTTGTAAACTTAGAAATAAATGATAATCCTATGGTGCAAGGTCAAGGCTATATGGGGACGTGACATTACTTCTCAATCAAGCTTGAGTAATTTCATACAGGTTGTTAAAGATGTGCGAGGCACTTCATTATCATGATGGAACATGATTCCTTTGCAATTTGCTATTTCTGGCCTTTTCTCTTTGATTACTTCCTCAAACTTCATTAGCTGCTGGCTGTTGTTGGAGTTAATCGTTGGTTGCTGTAAATATCCTCACTTTTGATGAAATATCAGGTTTAAATTAGAAGACTTCCTGTTCTCATGGGAACATACCAAGTGTCCCCTAAATGGCCAGAAAGTAATCAAAAGAAAATACTTGTTAAGGACAACCCCTCGTGCAGTTTCTCTTGCGAAACAAATGAAAAAGAAAAGGAAGGGGCTTTTGCCTGAGAAAGGCTGTAGGTATAAGTTGCAATCATGCGGAAGTTGTCTTTCTTTTCTGTAACTGTGCTGATGTTTCACTTTTTATTTAATTAAAAAATCCTTGTTTTTGTTTAAGTGTAAAATAAATATTAAAAAGACCACTGGTCTGGTTATTTTCCATCTCGAAAGCTTGCTTGCATTGCAGTTGCGTAGAAGAAGTTCAAAATATACAGTATCTTTGTAATTCCACCAGACTGGCAGCATGATCTTTTTCTGGTGCAGTTTAGCTTTTGGTATGAATTTCTGCTGATTCTTGATGCTTGGACCTTTTGATTAATGTTATTTAACACAATCCATTTTTTTTTATCACCACCAGTGATAATTCGTTTCAGAAAAGGGTCAGTTGCATTACATTTGAAATGCATATCACAAATAGTCATTTGTCAAGTAAATTTCTTTCAGTTCATTTAGAACCCAAATACTGAGTTTCTTAATGAGTCGTAGACATTGTATGTGATTTTCTATCGTTGTGTGCAATTCATTTAACCTTTTTGCAATTTCTTTCACAATTTTTTTGCAATTTCTCCAATTATACAAGGATTTGATTCAGTTATGGCTTTAATTTTGTCATTACCAACTTCAGAAAGGTTGGCCAGAATGTTGGTCATTTTCAAGTGAAAAAAAATCTCCAGAACGAAATTTTTTTAAACCAATTCTTGGTTTAGGGGAAGATAAAGTAAGAGGTTAGCAAAAGGTATGTAATGACTATAATGTGGTCTTACAAGGTAATATTAGGAAAGAAACTGACATTAGGATGGAAAGAAAACTAAACATGTAGTTCATTTTGAAGTTCATAACATGTATAAGGGCTTATTTAAAGATTAAATGTGTGAACATGTTCCAATAATGAATTATTCATATTTTAAAAATTTTTTAAATTTGCTCTTGAAGTATAGCAACTAATCTAAGTTACAATATTTCAATATTCTGTAATATCATCAGATTGAAATAATAATAATTAAATGGCTGCTTCCTTATTATTGCAACCATCATTTTGTAAATGACACCAAGATTATCATTAAATCTCAAACACAAGCCATCGCAAGAGGATGCATTTGTTAATCCAGTTATACAATGTGTACAAAAATGCATACACACACTTGAGACCTGGCTATGCAAATGAAAAATTCCAGCCAGTATCAGCAAAATGCGAGCCATATTATTTACAAAAAAGGAAAAAAATTTAAGAAAAATCTCTAGTTTTGTGGGGTATCCATCTTTTGGTCCCCCAGGTCCTTTATCTAAGGTGGTCCTCAGTAAAACTCTCACATGGAACTCACATGTTACATCTATTATCCAGAAGTTTCAAACGGATAAAGCGAGACCCTTCCCTTTAATTGCTCAAAACTGTGTTCTGTCTGTAGACAGTTGTAAAGCCATTAGGTATTTTTTTGAAGCAGGCAAGATGAAAAATTAGCAACGGCTTCGCCGGGAATCGAACCACTGACCTCTTTAATACTGGCCCACCGTGCAGAACCACTACACCACGAGGGCACGCTAGGAAGGTGGGAGAAGTACCATATATACTCCCCCTTTTAAAGGGCGACTAGGGTTTTTTCTAGGGGACCAAATCGACAATCGTGGGTGGGAAGAAATCATCATCCACTACCTTTTTACTTTGGGCGCCACTGTAAAGCAATTAGGTATTTTTTCAAAGCAGGCAAGATGAAAAATTAGCAATGCCTTCGCCAGGAATCGAACCACGGACCTCTGGAATACCGGCCCAGTGTGCAGAACTACTACACCACGAAGGCACGCTAGGAAGGTGGGAGAAATACCTTATACAATAAGTTACTCATTTACAAATCCGCCCTTATGTCCGTCCCATGCTATGTTATGCTTGCCAGGTTTGGGTTTACTCATACCGTTCAAGTCGTAAAAAATTGCAAACAGGTCAAAACTGTGTGTTAAGCCAGATTACAAACTCACCATGGTATGTGAGGAATAACAGAATACACGAGGAGCTGCACATTGAACAGCTCATATTTTATTATTGCTGTGTGGCTAAAAAATAAATTATGAAAAACAAAAAAAAAAGTATTGATTATCCAGTCATCAGTATGTATATCTATGACATTAATGATCCCAATTACTGCAAAAGACTTATGGCGGCTCTAAGTGATCAAGTAGATTAAGTCAAGTTTTATACTTTAGCTGTTGTATTACACCCATGTTCGCTTTCTCAAATCTTATGTCTCCACTATTGTGTATGAACCATATGTACCCTGCATTTATATGTATTTATATGACTAGTTCTTAAGTTACAGTGTACCATGGATTTGCACTTATTTTGTAACTTATAACTATTTTAACTATTAGTTACTTGTCTTGTATACTTGCTGTGTTTTCAGTCTAATCACCAGCTTGATCAGATACTTCTGACATTTTCTGCAGGCATTTGCTATTTACACCTTTAAGGAAAAAAAAAAAAAAAAAAAAAAAAAAAAAAAAAAAGAACTTAAATTTACACCTTAAAATTTTTAAAAAGAAATGTACTGGAGTTAAACTCATTACTTTTACCAAATGTTATTTTTACATTATAATTTAATTCATGCTTACAAAAAATCTACAACAAAAATTATTAATGTTACCAAACAAATACTGATTTTTTCTTCATTAATTAGATATTTTTGTTTAGTTATTTTGAAGTATTTTTTTGAAAAGCCTAAGTTATTCGATAGTGGGTAAGTCTTGGATCCAAGGCCCCCCAGTGTTACACTGCTTCTCTCTTGTAGTTCTAAGGAGAATCATTTATAGTTTGCTCATGATGAGAAGAGCAAATAAACTACATGTTATGATATTTATTTTTTCATATAAATGTTAACAATTCACTGTCTCATAATTCTGTTGTAGCAAGAAGAGTTCTGAGTACTCCATATGTTAATGTATATTCTTTTAAAAAAAGTTTCTTAAAAGTGAGATGTATTTTACCCCATATTCAAACATGCAAAAATGGCTATTAAATAAAACTACATACCAATGAAAGCATTTAAAGCTGCAGTGCAAAAAGTTGGAAGTGAAGGAAAAGCATATATTTTGCAAAGTGGTCCGGTGCTTTAACAATATGATTTGTAATAGCAAAGCAATTTATTTAATGTTGGACAGAGAAATTGATGTTGTGTAAATGATAAGAGAAGCAACTCAGTCTTTGAAAAATACAGCTATAGACTGGAGCAATTTTATGAGAGAGTTGAATTTTTTACATCTAATCCGACAACCAATTAGCTAATATATACCCCGAAAAGTTATGGACGTAAATGAAAATCTATTTATACATAAGAAAACAAAGCTGACATAAATTTCTTTTTCTGCATCCAGCAGCTCATATGCAAATATCACCAGTTTTACCTTGTAGAATTTGTATGTGAGTGGATCAGAAAATGCTTCTGATGCCATATTGAAACCAGGTTTAGGTTTATGTGATTACGGCAAAGCCTCAAGGGTCGTCTGCCTAGCCAAATTAAAATTAATTGCAGAAACAGGGCAGACACAAAGTATATGTGAGAGGTGAACATGAATTTTGCAAGAATCTTGGCACCAACTTGGCATTTGAAAAATGGTGTCTGTAATAATAAGGAAATAACAAAAAAAGTTCTATACCTCAAATGAGATATATCCTTTCTCTTAAAATTATGAAATTTTGTACTGGGAAAATTAACAAGTGAGAAAAAGGAAAGATCTAGTAGTAGCCATTGGCAAAAGTTGCCACTGTACGAAACTTGAAAGATTGAGATCTTTAATGTATCTTCATGTCCCATTGTGCGTAGCCAGTTCTCATGCTAACATTCGACGAAACAGAAAATTTTTAATGTTTTAACTTCCATTAATATGTTACTGATTAATAACGTACTGAACAATTCAAAAGCAATAAGATAAAATGGTTTAAATCTTTAATGTTTTATAACATATGTTTATTCATAATAAATCCAATATTTAAAATTTTTATTATTATTTGACGATTATTATAATTAATAAGATATTTTTAACTGCATGTGTTGCATAGCTAATACAGAATCGATTTCTTAAATTTCAAGTTTTTTTGCAGATTTTGATGTTAAAATATTCTTTTTTAATGTTCTTTTTAAAGTGTTTAAATTTTGATCTGTAACTTTTAGATTTTTCTCTTTATTTTTTTTACTTCCTTGTATGAAGAAAAGGATGTATAGTAATCGTGGAAAATTTTGGTTGTCACATTTCAATAAAAGTATCAACTTTGACTGCTCTTGAATCCATTTAAATAATGTTTTTTGTGTGACGTCTGTATATATGGGCAGAAAATGCAGAATAGGGCTTTTTTTTTCTGAAACAGAGTGTAAAGTGGATTAAGAAGGAACAGCTGTATTTGTGACAGCTGTACATATCTCACATACCTAAAAAATGAGTAGCCTTAGAATGTTGAAATTTTGTATATGGGACGGTTAGCGGTGAACCTCCCTTTCTGGTAGCAGTTGGCTGCACCAAATTTATATATAAACCCACTCTGTTACCTGGCTCGGTGAGCTCTGTTCTTTTAGTCTTACATGTTGGTAAATTGTGCATTTTTCGCTTTAAAAAGATTGAATTATGTTGTTCTTTTGTTCAGATTAAGGTTTTTATGCCTTTAGTTAATCTGCCTGCAGTTGTAGAATTGTCAAAAATTTAAAAAGTTGTTTAAGTGGAACTAAGCCTAAGGAAGCTGCCATTTGTTTACACTGTGAATTCAATCAGTTAGTGCACCAACTTTAGTGTCTTTTTGCAAAGTGGAATCAAAAGTAAACTCTCAGTTTTGTGCACTGATAAATCTATCTTCCTACCCAGGGGTGGCCCAAGAGCGATGCATAGTGCAAGGAGAAAATTATGCCACATGCGCAGGACGTCATGTGGGTGACAGTCGTTAGTTCTTGCCGTTTGTTTACATTCGTAGCATCAACAGTTTGATTTGATTTGTGTTGTTAATTTGCTATTATACCTAGTCAGAAGTGGCAAATTGTGCTACAGCGTTGTGTCAGAATTATACTCATCAATACGTTTTTGGCGGAAAACACTTTTTACAACCAGATAAAATAACTGACTATTTTTTTAATGAATTTATGTAGTTTTCATACATAACTATGATGTAATTTTGCATTTATTTTTCATTTTGCTGCTATTTTACATTTAAAATTGAAAATATTTCTCATTTTAAATCATTTTTTTATCATAATCTTCACTTTGTGAATGAGACTTACATCATAGTGAGATATTTAAACTTGTCATGTTTATCAATACTGAGTACCTGAATGATCAGTTGATAAATTCGCTTATCCAACTTCATTCACATGTTTTGGTTACTTTCTTTACATCCCAAACGTAATTCTATGTATTGAAGCAATGTCTTAGTTCAGCATTGCGAACTAAGTAAACTGATACATGCTTCACTGGGAGGAAAGAACAATTTCTGGAACAATTTTCAAACCATACTATGATGCAAACATCAAATGAGTGAGTGACATATTTCCTTCAGTGTTATTTAACATGCATATGTCTGATGTAATTTAATTGATATAACTAAGTGAACTTACACATGCTTGACCCTGAAGGAAAACAAATCTGTATATTGTGCTGGAATACAATAGCGAAAGATTAAGTAAGATATTCTCTTCAGTGTTATTTAACTGCTGCATATATTTTAATTTTGATTCCATATAATTTGTTTTTAATTATAAGAGAAAGACAAATAATTAAATACTGAACACTATTTTGAGTGTTCAAAAGAATTTTAAGAAACAACATGATATAAATACATTAGTAATTAAAAATATTTAATTTGAATACAGGCTGAATTGAAATTAAGATGTAGGGCAAGTTTATTAGTTTTATTATTGTGCATTTATGTCTAAGAAATGTATTTTAATTATTCTATTTTTAATGTATGGGGGAAGCATAGGGCGTGAAAATCGAAGATTATTTACTATAGCAAATAAACACGCCAGGTTAAATGTTATATAGAAATATTAGGAGTGTAAGGGATTATAAGAGTGCTTTTAGATAATACTGAAAATATATGCAGTTCTGATGAAATCTGTAGTGAATCAATATAAGTAAGTGACTTTAAAAGAATCTGATAAGTCTATTTAAAAGTATAAGGATGTGATATTAAGAAATTTGTAGAATTGTAGGGTAATTAAATATGAATTTGTTGATTTAAATCTTTTTATGTATATTTTTGCTTGAGTTACGTAATTTAAACTGAAAATCACGATCATATATTTCTGATGGAATGTGTATTAAAAAAAATGCATGAGCAATGAAAATAAATAGGAAAATACTTTTTGATTATGTTATTACCATGGTTTAGCAGTTATGTCTTCATGTGTTCTATTCAAAAAGATTTATTTAATTCAGACAATACAACAAAAAATATTGAAAAATACTTTGTTTTACAACATTTATTTCCCTTAATTAACTTAAATGCTTTCCTTTAAGAAAAGGATGTAATGTTTACTATTATTTTCAGCATTTGTACGAATTCTGTGCATAAAATAAATATTTGCTTTAACAAAATGCTTAATCAGAAAGTATATACCCGGTATTTCCCGTATGTTATTATAACTACCACATATAAAATCATAGTTTACATTTTTTCCATTACCAAAATCATGTAGCAGACGCGGCGACCCATGTGTCTTGTCACCCGGGTGACGTCACTACCAGCAACCAATGGCACACTTTTTCCATTCCTGGCCTAACCTTTAATATTAAAGAACCTTGCTTCCTACCTGCTAGCAATTACTTGGTTTCGGATAGAAACTGTAATTTTAATTGTAAAAAAATTCCCCCCTTACCATTTTTAGCTGTAACTGGTGTTTTATGTTTTCTGTATTCTACAATTTTTAATGACAATGTTTGGGGGGGGGGTTTCTGTATTTTTACATTGCTGTAAAGTGAGAACTGAATTAATTGAATGTGAAATATATCATTAGTGAAATTCGAGGAAATAAGTTTAAATGAAATGCAAGAGAAAATGTCTATAATTTAATAGGCATGTGGCATAGGAAGTCATGTGATGTGCACATCAGATATTTTCTTTGTTTATTTATTTATCTTCTGCTGTTTGCAACTCAAATTATTCTGGGTCAGTAAAGTTTTTATTTATCTGTTACTTAATGAAAAGGTTATTTATCAAAATTTAAGAGTTCTTTTGCAATTAATTATGATATATTATAAGATGAATAATTTAGTAGGGATAATAAAATCATTTTCTATTTCAGGAGACAAGTTGTGGCCTCAGGACATCTACTGCTGTTCTTTCATTGAACTATTTAAGAGGAATAGCAGCTCCTAATTCTATATTTTCTATGCAAATAAATATTCCAGTCATACCTGCCGGTGATCAGTATTTTAACACACGTAATTTGTTGAATATTAAATGTTATGGCATCAATCTTCGACAAAAGTACTTTAATGAATTAAGTAAGTACATTGATGTATTATCTGTCATGTTTAAAAAAGAATAGACATTTATGATACAAGAACATGTGAAGTAATATTTTATGTTGTTTGTGATAAATTATTTCAGTGGGTATTAAATTATTGTTGAATAATTTCTATAATTAGGTAAAAATGCCTTCTGTGTATAAACATGCAGTTAATCTGGTTTATTTAAGAACTGTTATATTTTTATGTAATGGTATGTGTGTTACTACATCTGATAAGTTATCTAGAATTCCAATGAAATTCAAAGTAATGTATTCTATTAAAATAAAAAATAAATTAAGCTCTTGCATAAGATAAATTTCTTAAGCAGCTATAACACCAGAATGCAGTAACATTAAGGCCAGCATTAAGGTAAGATTGTATTAAGGCTAAATAGCAACAATCTTTTCATTAAATGTGTGGGAAACTCAATCTTTATCTGTTTTAAACTGGTTATGTATATTTTGTCTTTCACCTATATTTTTATTTTTAGGGCTAGATAAGGCTTGGGGAAACTTGAGTTATCTAATATAGTCCAGTTAATATAGCAAATCAAATGATCATGATAATATTACAAATGAAGTGACCAAAACTGAATGATTATTCCTGCTGATTTTTCTTTGGAAGATTCTAAATCAACAATTTTAATTTCAATGGGATTAGCTTATTGTGGCAAAGATATGGAGATGTGGAGAGGGAATATAGAATCAAATGAGGAAAAGGGGAAAAAATATTCCAACAATGGGTTTTTTTCAAATGTCATTAGACAATTTAGTAAAGCTTCAAAAATATTTTAAGAAAAACTTTCTTTGGCATTTTTAAGTGAAGGGAAAAATTTCCGGATGACTGTAATAAACAGAATGTAAGATGCAATAAGATTCAACAAATCATGCTTCCCCCCCTTTAAAAAAAGGAAAAAATTCCTGGACTGTTGTAGAGAAGACTTTTTTAAAAAATAAAATACATAAATGAGATTTGTTGATATGATTAATTAGTGATAAACAGACTTTAAACATACATTTTTTTCATGTTTTTGCTAAAAAAAATTGTATAATTTTAAATGTATTAACAGTGCCTTGTATATGGAGAGATAAAATATTTTTATTTATTAAAAAAATTTGTTTGGGTATAGAAATTCGGATTTATTGAATATTATTTGCAACTCCTTAATCAAATCTGGCCTTGACTGCAATTACTTGTTAGAAAGTGTTTTCATAATTATTTATTCTTTGAAAGTAGGGACATTCAGAAAGTAGGGCATTTTTTATTTCAAATGGTGATTTGACTGCTGATTGGAAAATAATTGCTGTTCAAATTATTTTTTTTGGGGGGGGGGAAGGGAGGGGGTGACAGCTGTCATAAATTTTTCTTATATAACTGAATTATCCATATCTACAGTTTAAATTTAATTTTTATATCTATTTACTGTTATTCATTATAGGCATTTTTTCTTCTAGTATACATTGAGTTTATTTTGAGTAGATTCTCGGTTTTGCTTCAGATTGCTGTGAATAGTTTTATGCTTCCATTGTGAAATCAAATTTTTAGATTAAAGCTGTTGCATTAATATTTAAGTTCAATGTATGAATGGAAAATGTTGTGCAAACTTTCTTGATCAGTGTGTAATCCCTTCTACAACAGTGCTACATTTTAACTTCTGTGTTTATCTAATTCATGAATATTACTGTTTTTTCTCTTTTTCATGTCAGAGTCCAGATTAAGAAAAACTGATTTTGTAACATCATCTCTTTCGTGGTTACTGGAGAAAAACTATTTGCCAAAGAATCCACCTTGCAATTTATGTGGTGGGAAGGTTTTCACTTTAACCAAAGATAAGAGGTTCTTTGATGGTTTCTGTTGGCTGTGTGATTCGTAAGTAAAATTTTAAACTCCAGTTTTCGTAAAATATCTTGATATATTTTTGTAGGATGTAATATACGAATACCCTTTTTTAATGGAGGGGCTGGCGTATGGTACAGTTTTAGAGGGGCGGCTTATGAAGCACGCCAGGTCTTTTTTCGAGCCTCTGCTTCATGTTTGAAACTATTTAATCTTATACATGGCATTAATAAGGTGATTCTCATAGTAAAAAATGATATAAGAAAAGTAATAACAGAAAAAAAAGCAGTAAAGATGGAAATTACGAATTTTTAATTAATTAAAAAATGGAATGCACTGGAAATGTAATTTAAAGTTATATAGTTTCTGTATTATTTTCTGTATGCAAATTATAAGATCATAAATAAAATTTACAAATTATAAATATTCCATAAAGAAAAGTTCAGTAAGTAATAAATTTCACAAATAAAAAAATCAAAAGCCTTTTGCCACTTCAAACCTCTTCAGATTGTCCCTGTTCACTGCAGCATGGTTTAAAAGTTATACTGTCTTGCAAAGATGATTTTTGCAGGTAAATTTAGAACACTCAGAAAATTTTTTGGTAGTGTAATTATTCTTCATTCTACCGCACTCAGCGCAGCTTCCTTTGATCTTTTTTTGCAGGTGGTTCCTCTTCCCTTTCGGCCGTCTTGTCCGTTTTTACCAGCCTTCTAATAATAGCTTTGGAATGCGACAGGAGAAATGGCATTTTTAGACGATTCTAAAGATGTGGTTTCATTAAAGATGTAGCTAGATTTTTTTCAAAAAAATATCTTCTAAACTTGATAGTTGCATCGGGTTTGTTGAAGTTCAAGAGCACTTGCCAATTTATGCCCACTACGTTTAGCAGTGCAAAAAATATTGCCATTGTCCACCTCTTGGTTTTTTGGGCGACAGTGAAATTACTACAACGTTGGTCTACGGTTTCAACTCCGCCTTTACATTTGTTATAATCCAGGATTATGTGAGGTTTATTCGTTTCCTGGTCAATTTTGTCATCATCGTGTAAAGTGCTGAGCAGTATTACACACTTATTTTTTTCGTTGCGTATGAAACAATTGTCATATCCTTTTGAAAACCAAACAGGGAACTGCTGACTTCTCTTGTTTTTTATGGCTGGAATTCATTTGGAATTTCCTTTTTATTTTATTTTATTTTTTTTTTTTTTCAGCATGCCGACAAGTGTTATGCCTTTGGTAAGAAAATATTGAGCTAGCTGGTAGCTTGTATACCAAGTATCGGTCGTCAGGTTACGGTTGAAACCTTTGTACATACCAATTAGCCTATTAACAATGTCAATACTTTAATTAGAAACCTCGTAAGGTCCTGGGGGTTGATTGCCACAATGAATTTCAAGCTTCAATGTATAAAACGTTCATGAGTCAACAACTGCAAAAATTTTCAGACCATACTTTGCGGGATTGTTGGGGATGAATTGAATAAAAGATCATCACCTGTGAAAGGGATCCAACTTCTCGTCGATTGTGAGTTCGTCATCTGGTGTATAAAAGTTTTAACAGTTCTGATTGAAGGATTAAAAAAATTCTCTTACTGCATCAAGCGTATCAGCTTTTCTTCACACATACCTTATCCCTTTATCGTCGAATCTAATAGCAGCACACAGGTTTCTGAATCGCTTGAGACCCATGATCCCTTGCAAAATATCAATTTCAGTACCATCTTTTGCCCATGCTTCCTCCAAATTGAATTTTGACATTTTTGTGCACCCTAATAATAATAAAATTCTAAAAAGGCCAATATTTCTGCTCTATTAGTATCATACATCTTCTCTTTCGAGATGTTTTGGAGATCATCTGCAGTCCTGTTACATTTGAGATAAATATTTGTATATTGTACAATAGCATCAATCATATTTGTATTTATGATTTTCTGGAAAGCAAAAAGCTCAGCATTTATATCGTCACAAGTTTTGGCAGTTTAGAATATTTTTTTCACCAACTTTTTTCAAGCCATTCTGGCGAATTTGCTCTTGAGGGGAAGTTTATTCTACATATAAGTCTAATGTTCTTCTTTCAGAAACTTTCCTCCAACTTTCTTCTTTTTGTACATTGCTTATACAAAAAAGTCCTCATATTTTAAATCACTTATGTCATTTTCAACCTCACTAAAATCGTCATTTGTTGGGGAAACATCATTTGAGGAAGGAAAGTGTATATGTTTAGAAGCATTTCCCTCAATTTTTGAGTCATATTCATGATCAGAATCTTCAATTACTTCCGATTCATCGACATCAGATGTGTTAACCAAATTGTCAGAGTCTTCATCAACCGAGACTTCTTCTAAAATGCGCAAATAATCTCCAAGAGGTACAATATTCTTTCTGTACATACTTGGAGGAGCAACATACTGCATTCACCTACGCTACATGTTCACAATAACTGCTTTCAGAAGGAAGACGAAAACCAGACTGACCAGAAGTACCAGATGCGTTGCACTCATGAAACGTTTCTAGGAGGGTAGAGGAAGGAGGAAGCTCAGGAATGGGCTGTCTAAAAATGACAGCCCCAAAGGTGGCATTGGCGTACTCCGTACGCTGGCTCCTCCATTGCAGGGTTAAGGATATGGATATTCTCTTTTAGGGAGGGAGGTTCTTCTCTAATGAATTATGTCAATTAGGAAACAAAAAAAATTACTGATTACAATTATTATGCATTACAATATGCATATCTATGTTTAATTTTTGGTGTGTTAAATGTAAACCTTTTTCTCATCCAATAAGTTTATATCTGTAAATTTTTTATTAACTTTATTTGCAGTTAATAATTTAATAATTGTAAAAGTAATTCATACAGTATAATCATATGATTGTGGATAATTGAATAATTTTATATAGCTTGTTTTATCATTAGACAAATGTAATAATTTCAGTTTTATAGATATGATGCGTGCTAATAGTTGAGTAACTAAAGCAGTTTATGTTTATTTCATATTAAATTTAATACCTGATAGGCCACCAAAGAATGGTTTTCCCCTTGGCCGAATGGGGATATCACAGTTCTGAGCCATTTGAGTATGTGTTTGCTCTTTCTTTTTTTGCCTACTTTTAATGGTTGACATGGAAAAAGCAAAATTTATGTGAACTTTTGTCAAATTCCGATGAATTTCTTTAAGGGTTAATTCATTGCAAACAAGGGATTTTATGACTGCACAATATTCAAGTTTGTCCATTTTAACAAATATGACATCCGCTGCAAAAATTCTTGTAAACAAACTGCTTGAAAGAACAAGTTGAAATTGGTCGTACGAACTAATGACACGTGCACGTAGGCAGGAAATATAAATTTTTGCTGATTGGATTGCTCTATTTGAATTTGCTCTATGGGTCAGGCTGAGAACGTTTCACCTTACCCTCATACCAATGATAAATTTTATTCTGCAGCTGCTGTGAATTTTTTTTTTTTTTTGCAATATGAGCATTTTTGTGAGAACATTGTTTCTATACGTATTTAAAGTTTTTTCTGCTTTTAGATTTCCCATTTCTGCATCGTCCTCTGTAGTTATTGGGTCTTTTACCCAATATTTCTCAATTATTGCATGATTAGCATACTAAGTTACTGGATGCCTTTCTCAGGTACTCACTGGTCAGGTAAGGAGGGCTGTCTGGGATGTTAGATATAGCAAACAAAACGGTCAAACGATATAGATATAACAAAACGGTCAAAATGTTTAAACATTTCATTTAAATAAACTGTTTCCTGATTCTGATACTAAATTAAAGGGGACATGAAATGTCCTCAGTCTAGAATGCAAAAATATATTTGTTCGACACTATTGCTACCTGGTTTACTTGTACGGGATGACTTTGATGAGCCTTTATTAATTTTCCAGAGTCCCAAGGGTTTAAGTAAAAAAAGTAGCCATAAACTAATTATTAGTAATTATTATAAATTTAATATTAAAACTTACATGTATTATACATGTATCAACTGATGTCCAGAAGAATTTCATTCTACTTGAAGATGTCTGAATCTATGCATGGGCATTACTGCAGCTGTATTTCAACAAAAGTATTTATCTGATTATATACCTTATGGACTGAGCAGGTTGTGTGATCTGACTGGCTGATGAATTTGACTGACTGCCCATGAAGATGAATGGTAATGATCAAAAAAGGCTGTAGCTTTTTACAACGTAGTTTCTTTGGATGAATGCATAGGGATATGCTCTATCGCATATGATTTTGTATATTCCTTACTGAATAGTTTTGTGCTCTCAGAATTCTTTCAAGTAAAAATGAGTGTTGCCTTTCCCTAATAATTATTTATAGCCACACAGCACCAATAGCACAGTAGTTTGTGATTCTGTATTCTTAGGTTGTCAATGGATATTGATAGTGTATTTTTGTAAAAAGAACTATCATGTCATACTTGTGTATAGACAGTAGTTCATTTTTGTTCATGAATAAATATTGCATAAAAAAATGCTCTCTGTTTAATACCTTTAATTCGATCCAGTCTGATTTATTAGAAACTTATACATTTTCTTCACAACATACTACTCCATTCAAGCAAGAGACATTAAAATGAATAGCAGTTTACTTTTGAAGTCTTAACAGTAGCAGCTCCAATGTTTTGATTACATTAAATTCATGGTTATCGTAATTTGTATTTCTTTTCACAATCAATGGAAAAATGCACATCCTGACAAAATTACAGATACATTAGTAACTAGTGCTATCAATAGCCAGCTTCAGACTGGTGATAGAAACTTCACATATTATAAACTAGTTGATTTGTAATTATTGATGCATGTAGTATAATCCCCAATAATTATCAGTTTATAAATAATAATTATCAAAATGTTTACAGAGCAGAGCACCTTTAATTAATAAGTGGGTCCTATACCAAGATGGAAGTTATGGAATATTGCAACAGCATTGCATTTTTTTAAAACAAAATATTTAAATAAAGCAGGTGTAGGAAAAAGATTATTGCTATATTTTTGTATGAAAATATTTAATAGTGAAGTAAAAATTGTGTGCATATATTTCTGCCCCCTTCTGAATTAAGTAATATGTAAACACTGCATGTTTGATATTTATAATATATTTCATGAATTCTACTTGAATTGCCTATTATTCTTTCTTTATTTTGTGTGTGTCAGTCATGTTCTGTATTTTCAAGGTTCATTACTAATGAATATTTGTTATTTTAAGTGATAAAAATTTATATAAAGATATTTATTTAACATTTAAAAAAATCTTTCTCTTTTTTTTCCTTTTCAGTTGCTCATGTGCAGAGCCAGTAAAAAGGCCCAAGTTTTTCCAACAGTTTTTATTTCTTTCAGTTGAGGAACTTCTTTTGCTAACTTTTCATTGGGCATGTCAGTCAGATTTAGACACAATATTAGAAGATATTGACTTGGATCTTTCAAAAATCTGGTCATATTTTAAAGCTCTTCAGAAGTTATGCAAATATGTTGTAGCTGGGAAAAAACTTGGATTTCCAACTCAAAATTATAAGCAAGACAACAAAATTGAAGTTTCTGTAGTCAAGTTAGGAAATTTCTTTATTTTAGGCGTGCATGATCGAGGAACAAAAATAACAGGATTAGAAGTGATAAATGTTGATGAAGCATGTTGTACAGATCGCCATTTACATCTTATAAGACAGGGGATATGTCCTGATAGTATAATAATAACTGAGAAAAGAATTGAATCTTCTTTTTTGCCAGAAGCCAGAAGTACTTGGTCTGCTGATTCTCGCATTATGGATCCAAATGATATTCGCAACCATATTTTAAATGTAAAAACATATCTATGGACTAATATGAAGGCCATGTTTGGAAAATTTCGTCATGAGGAACTAGATAGAACAACAATTCAGGGCTTTCTGTCAGAGTTGCAGTGGAGAGAAATATTTGGCAAATGTGCAGATTCTGCATTTTGGTGCATTATGGATCAAATGAATGCTTTTGATGTTTCTGCTGGTAAGACTTTTTTAATGTTCTTTTTCTTTGTACAGAGAGATACAGAGTGCAGGGGAATTTCTTTATTTGAAACGTGCACCATCTAGCAACATTTATTCCGAGAAGCATGGGGTGGCGCTCGTTGAAAAGAGTGGTGTCTGATGTTTTATGTCATCTAGGTATAGTACCGATCATGCAGTGGACAAGAGAGGAGCACACGTTCACCATGGTGTTGTACTTTTCAACGTACTGCATTTTCATCCATATAAATTGGCAGTGGTACAAAAACTAAATCCATGCAATTTTCTTTTATGAAAAAATGTATGCGAAGCCGTTCTTGACAATATGCCTCATGATATCCTTGTGTTCTTTAGCGATGAGGCTCATTTTCATCGTTCCAGGTTGTGTGAAAAAGCAAAATGTGCGATACTGGAGTGGCATGAATTCCCGAGAACTTCATGAGCAGCCCCTCCATACAGAATGTGTGACTGTTTGGTGTGCATTGTCCAGAATATGCATCATTGGACCATTGTTTTTTGGAGAACATTTCACTGGAAACCTTATCTCCTTATCTTCAGTGGCCAGCGTGCTAGCCTGATTTAGCCCCTTGTGATTTCTTTTTGTGGGGCTATCTGAAATCTCTAACATCCAAAGACCATGGCTCAACTGAAGAACCAGAACGGAGGCCACCTTAATGATATTATTTTAAACCATAATAAAGAAACTTTATGTGACTCTCTATAACTTGGGAAAAAAATTTAACTGATATTGCTTATACTAGTTGTGTTATTCATTTTTAAAATAAGATAGTTTCCCTGCCACATCCTGTATATTAATCTTCAGTTTATTTCGATATCATATAAGAGTTAGTCTAAAAAACTTATCTAATTATTAAGATTTTCTGGTTCAACAGCCTTTTGTATGTGTTTTACTTTTTAATATATTATTTCATTTAAAAAATAATAATTCAAGATAGGCTGTTTTAGTTTAATACAGGCATTTCAGTAGTTCCCTAATATTTAAATTATATATATAAAAAAAAAAAAAAAGTTTTCCTTAGTATCCTGATGATTTTCTTTACCGGGCCATTTTACTGTGAGTGGTACGTGGTAAATATGTCATCACATAAAATTTCAGCTATTTTAGAGTAAATATCAGTGATGTAAATTTTCACATAACTGATTAGATAATTTTAAAAAAATGAAACTGTTTTGTAGACTCAGTACAAAAGTAGCTGTTTATGGTAAAGGAAGTGAAAGTTACCAGATGGCAGAGAAAATGTTATTGTTTGTGAAATTATCTAGCTGATTGTGAAATTACCTTGCTGCTTTCTTAGCTGTGCTATTGCCATTGATTTGACATCTTACAATTGGCTACTAAGTTTATTATACTCGTTTATTTTATATTTTTTCCCATGGGGATATCCGGAGGATATTGTATATTTGCAAACTTTGAGATCTGCTTAAGTCTTAGTAATGTATTCAGATTGTCGTCAAGATTGTAATGTGCATAATTAGAAATCAGTAGCCATCTGTTATAATCTGGTGAATGTCACATATGTGCACTTAAAAACATGGTTATTATCTTAAGGCTTGATAGTCAAAACAAAGTTTATGCAAGATGGATTGGAGCTGTTATGATCATTATAAAGCATATGGAGCACACTTTGAAGCATGTTTGTGCAGACAAGATACAAGAGTTCAAGAGTGCTATAAATAATATCAGTGTGATATATAATTTTGGAGAAGATAAAAACATTCCTTGATTTGTTGTAGTGAAAGCAGAAAACACTATCTTAATGCAGAGCTTGATCTTATCCACCTCAAACTACTTGTTCTTCAAACTTCAAGAAAACATGCCATCTTAGATCTAGTGTTCTGAAAATCAACAATATTGAAGAGCATAACATTAAACTCAAACCTGAAAGCACACCAAAGAAGCAAAAGTCTTACTGGATACCTGAAGTTCTAAAAAATGAAGTTGATCTACCACCAGATGAAAACATGAAACATCTCAGTTAATATGGAGAAGGAAGAAGTGATTGAAATTTTGGTTGAAGTGCAGTGCCCACTGAAGCAGAAATGTGAGGTAGATTAATGCATTAACATTAACTGATGCTAATGTAAACAGTATATTCGTGGAAATGCTTTTGTTGGATCTGTCAGCAAGCAACTGTCTGCTATTTTAAAACATCTTTAGGGAAGGGGGAATGGCCTACTCCTGGTTTAGTTCTTTGAAACTTACAGTGTTGATTCCATGAAATTTTTGCAGTTTCCTGTGTGTAAACATAATTGCAAGCCATTTTTGTTAGAAATCTTATATGAAAGCATCATCATACTTCAGATTTATCTCATCTGTTATGCTATAATAAACTAATTCAGTCCTAGAAATCTTGTAAAAAATGTAGTTTTAATTCAATAATATTAATTTCAGATTTGATTATTTTAGTAGTATAAATTTTTAAATACTGTACAAAATACTTGTTTTGGGCCACATTTTGAAAGTGGGTGTAGAAATACTTTATAAATTTTAGTTATTATTAAAGAAATATTAAAAATTTTAACAAATTATAGCTGTTTAAAGGAAACACATATGAATTACATTTTGTACATTTTGTATCTGAAACTTTTTGATGGAAATAAAAATTAATTAGTTAAATGTGCCTGAAGTATATGGAATGTAATGAAAATTTGTGTTAGCTATGAAGTTTGTGCATGAACAACACAAACTATGAAATTTGTGCATGAACAGCACAAACTATGAAGTTTGTGCAGGAGCTATACAATTAGCAGGAATTGTTCCTGCATACATAAGTTTAGTGCAGTTCGGAATTTCCTAGTGATGATAATTTTTATTTAGTTTTAAATTAAAGTTTTTATTTTTCCATGCACGGTTTTCATATTTGACAGACATTTACATTGTGTACACTTGTGGCATATTTATTAATTAATTTTATATAAATTTTATTTTATTCATGTTTTTTTGGTAATTTCTGTGCAGAATAGTTTAGTCAAATTCTTTTTGTGCATTATTGCCCTGGTTCAACCTTTGAGTGTTTTAATGTTTACATATTTTTCTTTTTTATGATACATAAATATATAAGACATGCTGAAATATTCATATTAAATATATAAGTAACATTGGAAATAAAAATTAAAATGAAATGAAAAGGAAAGATATTAGTTAATTCTAGTATTTGTGAAATTCTTCTTCTTTGTAATTCACCTATTTCATTTTTTGTTTCAAGCTAATTCTTTTTAAAATTACCATTTCAGATTCCTCTGAGGTGAAAAATATGAAAGATCAAGTAAGTTTGCATTAAATTACACTTAAGGACATTTGAACTGAATATATACTTGAGTAGCATTGATTTAGGGATAGATAGCATTATATAAATATTGACACAACACCACCTTATTTCCAGACATGTTGAATATTACCATAGCATGTATATAGTTGGAAGTGTAAGCCCTGTCTAAGCAATTGTTAAAAGTAACTGCAAACTCAGTGCATCAATGTATGGGTCTTTCCATACATTGTGTTCAATCTCTTCCTTTGTCTAGCCTATGTGCCTCCATGCTAGCAGGATTTAGAGCATAAAGACTTTTTCCTCCCTTTCCTTAGGTCTGATTAGGAAGACAGCTTCTTTTTAATTTGATCACATGTTGCTAAAATTCATTCATTTTCTGTGAAGGTCTGTTGAAGAGATGGGCATTTAATGCTTTTCATGATAATTTGCTACAGCATACAGTAGTAGTCTACAGCATACAGCATGGTCTATGTGCTCTTGTCTTTAAAATTTATTTCCTCTATTTCAAGTGATTTCAGGCTTATATGTGAACTGGAAAAAAAGGGCGGGAAGAGGTGGGAGACAGTTCTATATCTCCCATTCTACTATGCTGATTGACGAAATTTAAATTGCGTTTTTCATGTCTCGAAAGCGCGACTTAGGTTTTATATTAGATTTATATATAGCATTAATCTAACATGGGTATTTTGACAGAAAATTGGACTTTTTATGAAATAACTATTGGAAAATATGACTTATTGTAACCCTTTTTCTGCATCATCTCTCCTCCTTGAAATATTTATTAGGCTTAGTTCTTATTTTAAAGGGATATAGTAGTTATTTCTACTTCTTTTTTTTCACTGCCACTGTTTGTGTTGAGAACGGACTGTTTCAGCCTTATTAAGATGCAAAAACAAAATGTGATGTTACGTCATCTGGAAAGCCGAGTCGTGCCGATAGCTGATTGGTTGCCGTGAGATGACGTCATGCCTACTTCTGGTATAAGTATCTCGCGTCGTCTGGCTCATTCCTTCTAGTTCCTACTTTCTTGGCTCTTGGGTGTGCAGTTTCCAGTCCCTATTGAAAGACGTCTTGCGATGCATGCAGTCCGGGGATAAGTTCCGGTTTCCAGCCCCTATTGAAAGACGTCTTGCGATGCGTGCAGTCTGGGGATAAGTTCTGAGGTTCCAGTCTACAAGATGACTTTTCTGGAATAAGTTCTTGGTTCCTGTCTACAAGATGACTTTTCCCGAATAAGTTCCTTGGTTCCAGTCTACAAGATAACTTTTCCTGGATTCTCAAAAGAGGCTACAATGTGTGTGACTGCCGTGGGTGGCATCCATGTTCTTCATGAAGGCGGCATTTAACATGAGTTAGCGGCGATGTTTTACTGGGCTGTGATTCCTCGTGTTCAACTACAGTGAGCGGAGTTAGGCCGGATTTAAGTGCTCTCAAGGACTTAATTTAATTTTCTTAATTTAATTACTTTATTTAATTTAGTTTGAAACCTTTTAGTGTGTTCAATGTCTGCACAACATATAATCTTAGGGAGCTTCTATTGCTACTGCTGCTAAATGTTTAATTTTATAAACTTTAAACTTTTTTTTTTTTTTTTTTTTTGCATCATTTTGGTTATGGGCCCAGCCCCAGAGTTATCTTTAGTGCAGACTTTTGAAGTTTAAAATTAATTTAGGACTTAAGAGACTGGGGAGCGGTTTTTGGTTGAAATTCAAATATGGCCTACTGTTAATGTTATGCATAATATTGCTAAACTTGAGGCATGTAATTATTTTACATGGTCTAAAGATATGAAGTTTGGTTTAAATGAGAAAAATGCATGGCTTTTGGTCAAAGGTATTGAAAAATGTCCTGATTTAAATGATGTTAAGGGTATTACAAAAGAAATTGTTGCCGACTATCAAAATAGAAGTCGTTTGGCATTATCTTTAATTTATATGAATGTAAGCCCTGAATATAGAAACTTGATAAGTGAAATTGATGACCCGGTAGTTGCATGGAATACGCTTGCCAAATACTTTCAGCCAGATTATCGATCAAGACATATGTCCTTGTTTTCAGAGTTTTTAAATTGTAAAATTAAGCCAAATGAAAGTATTAGTTTCTTTTCTTCTAGATTAAAACGGGTAACTGAATTAGGTGATATTAATCAGGCTGTAAGAGATGTATACATATGTTTTCAGTTTCTTAGGTTCCTTCCAGATAAATATGATCAAGTAGTTCAGAATGTTTTGAGGTGGCCAGATGAAAAGTTCATATTTAAAATTGTTGAACGTGAAATACTAGTAAAGGAAACACGTCTTAGTTTAAGAGAGATAGCTAGGGAAAATTCCAATAAGACTATAGAAGTTCAAAGTACTTACTCACTGTGAACCCAACTTTCAGCAGATTAAAGGGCTCAAGTGTTATAAATGTGGCCGTTCAAGTCATATTCAGAAATACTGTAGAATGAAAGGTAATTTTTCCAGATCACCTTCGCCTGTTTCTTCTGTTTCCTCAGCTGTAATAGCTCAAGCTAATGTTAACAATTTGGAGGAAAATGATGATAGTTGGATTTTTGATACTGCTGCATCTCATCATTTTTGTAAAAATCGTGAATTATACGATACTTTTTCTCCTGTGAAGAATGAGAATATGCTAGTAGCTATTGATGGGGTAACTTTTCCAATTCGTGGAAAGGGTACTGTCAAAATGAAATTTGGGAATACGGTTATTTTGCTTAAAGATGTGTTATACTCACCTGAACTGAGACGAAATTTAATATCTGGACCTAGGGTGGATATCAATGGAGCAAGATTTTATGGTAAAAATGGGCAAATTAAAGTTACTGATGATGAAAATGAAACTTTGTACAAGGCTAAGTTGATAGGAAGTAACTATCATGTATTCCCGAAAATAGTGAAAAAGGGGGGCAAATCTGTGAAATTTGAGGCATCCACAGTTCAGCATAACAATAGTGAATTATGGCATGGTCGGTTTGGTCATATAAATTATGGTGCTATTGTCAGGACTAGTAAGAGACATTCAGTTCGAGGTCTTCCTGTGTTAAAGCACTCGCCTAATTTGTTTTGTGAACATTGCCAAATCAATAAGCAAAGATGAATCTCCTATAGAAGGTATTCGAGTGAAGAGACTGCTTGAAAGCTGGTTTTTTTCTGATGTATGGGCACCTATTAACATTCCAGGTAGGAATAGTGAACGTTATTTCGTTTCCTTTATTGACGAATATTCTCGTTATGTGGTAGTGTACCCCATTGTAGAGAAAAGTCAGGTGTTTGAAGTATTTGAAAGGCATATGGCACATGCTGAAAGATCTTTGAACCTTAAGTTGAAATACTTTAGAACTGACAATGGACGAGAATATGATAATGAACAATTCAGGTCATATTGTAATAAAAATGGTGTAAAGCACGAATTTACAGATGTATATACTCCGGAACAAAATGGAGTTTGTGAGAGATTCAATCAGACAGCTCTCAACAATGTACGTGCAATTTTACATGATAGTGGAATGAGTCCTGAATTTTGGTCAGATGCAGTGATGTATTTTGCATATTCATTTAATAGAATTTGTCATAAGGGCCAAGATAGAACCCCATTCGAATTGTATACTAAGCGGAAACCATCAGTACGTCACCTTAAGGCATTTGGAACGATTGCCTATGTGGGAATTCCAAAGGCTAAAAGAAATTCTAAGCTTGATCCAAAGGCAACGAAGGGCCGATTGATTGGATACAGTGTACGAACAAAAGGGTACAAGATTTGGTTGGAAAATGAGCAAAAGGTAGTAGAAACCCTAAATGCTACTTTTAAAGAGTCAATTGGAATGCAGAAAAGTGGCAGTGGAGCTGCACTGGGCACCCTTCCTGATTTGGAATCTGAAGAGAGGGTCGAGTTCCAATCTACTGATACTCCAGTTGGCTATTTTCCTGAAATAGAGGAAAGAATTGATACCAGTGTACCCTCTTCTATACCTAGCACTGACACTCAATCTACATTGAGACAAGTAACTTGGCTTCGTAAACCTGTTCCAAGACCAGATGGCACTCGTACGGATGTGTACTATTTTGAGAAGGGGTCTATAAATCACCAAATGATGTAGAAAGGTATTGCACTGAGCATAATATTCAGTATGATCCTACCTTGTTTGATTTCAAGGGAAGCAATACTTATAGTGGTGAAATCGACCCAACTGGCACTCCTTCAACGTCATATACCCAAGATAGCTGACTAGAGGTTTCAATTCCAAACACTTATAACCAGGCAATGAAATCCACAGAAAAGCATAAATGGATAGAGGCAATGGAAGAGGAAATGGCCAACATGCGAAAGCATAAGGTATGGCATCTTGTTCCACTTCCTAAAGACAAGACTCCACTAGGTTGCAGGTGGATTTCAGTAATAAGGCTCTTTTTCTCTCTTTTAGTTGCACACCTTGGATGGGCAAATATACAGTGCGACGTAAAAAGTGCCTATCTCTACGCTCCTTTATCAGAGGAAATTTACATGTCCCAACCTCAGGGTTTTGTAGAGCAAGATAAAGAAACTTTTGTGTGTCGTTTAGATAGAGCCTTGTATGGTCTGCATCAGAGTGGGCGATTATGGTACTACGAGTTGGATAGAACACTATGTAACCTAGGGTTTATCAAGTTTGAGTGGTGCAATTGTGTCTATCGTTTTAAAGATTTTGTTATTCTGTTGGTTTATGTTGATGATATAGTTGTGTTTGGAAAAAAATGAAGTTCAGGCTAAAAGGATATTAAAAGTCCTGAATTCACATTTTGATTTGAAAATTTTAGGGTAAAAAAAAGAAAGCTTTTGGGTGTGGAATTTGAATATGAGAACAATAGTGTTTTGAATTTCATCAGCAATTATATATAGAAGACATAGTTGATCGATTCAAGTCTTTTAAAATACAAATTACTTCCCTTCCAATAGTTAAAGGTGTGAAATACTCAAAGTCTCAAAGTCCCAGTACACAAGAAGAAACGACTGAAATG